TGGAACAGGCTGCCCCGAGAGGTGGTGGAGTCACCATCCCCAGAAGTGTTAAAAAAAAATGGGTAGATGTGGCACTGGGATATGGTTGAGTGGACATGGCGCTGTTGGGTTGATGGTTGGACTGGATGATCTTAGAGATCCTTTCCAACTTTAATGATTCCTAGTTTTACTTTCATTAAAAAATAATCCAGCCACCAAGCCAGGAAACATGAAATTAATAATTATTCTACCCTTAACTGGCTTAGTGGTGGACTTGGTAGTGTGAGGTTAATGGTTGGACTGGATGATCTTAAAGGTCTTTTCCAACCTAAATGATTCTATGATTCTAAAGCAGACAGCGGGAAGGGGCAAGCAGATAAGAGCTGCCCTGAGGCCTCGGAGGCTGAGCCTTCCTGTGGCCTCTTCCACAGCAGTCACCGTCCTGAGGAGGGGGGAGGGGGGGGGATGTGGAGCTGTGTGTCCCTTGGAGCTGACCCACGAGGTGGTTAACACTTCTGAGACATCAAGAGTGGCTATGCTGCGATAATAAAGGGAGATTTTTGGGGGATACGCAAAACAGAAAATTCAGAAATGTTGCAGGGAATATTGCTAATGGGGCATCACAAGGTAGTTAACTGGACAGGAAGTATTCAGTGGTTTCTATTCTGAGACTGAGAAGAGAGAAGCAAGCTGCAGTGCTTCTGTCACTTGCAAGTGAAGTATTTTCTAGTCTACTATGGGGTCCAGACAACTCTTATCCTACAGACCTGAGGCAGTTAGAATGTAATATATTTTGGAACAATGGGAGTGTTTGCACCGCTGTATGCGCATGGGAGGTGGTCAAACCTGGAGTAACCTTTTTTGTCTGTTTTTTTTTAAAATTATTATTTGTTACAAGAAATTGAGCTGCAAAATGAACATCACGACTGCAGCCTACCCTGGCTAAGGGTGCTCTGCTAATGGTAGCATTTTAGTGTATTATTGGTGAGTACTTTGCAACTGCACGCTAAAGCTAAGCTCTTGCATGGTATTCCCTGCAGCGCTGCCTCTCCATCCACAGGGATCCCAGCTCTGCCCTGTTTGACCAAGACATGGCCTCGACTAGGCTTGTGGGTGTGTCATGAGCGAATATGAGGGTAAACCTCTGGAGAAGCTCCTGCCACTATAAAATACTGCACGTGTTCCTCAGCTATCTGGACTTTTACTAAGCCATTAAATGCGTCTTGGTACTCATTTGATGTGAAACTTTTGTTTCAGACATTGATTTAGATATCCAAAATGTCTCTGGAAGACTGCATGTGACAAATTCCCTTCTCTATGATGACACATCTTCCTGTATTAGAATATAGCTCATCCACGGGGGAGCCAGAATTTTTGTGAAAGTAGCTCAGCTTCCAGAGAAACTGCAGACTTCATGCTGTGGTAAGTGTGCAGCAGCCTGCAATGCTTTTTTATCAAAAGGCAGAGCAATATTTAAGTGCTGCTCTGCTAAAACATGCCTCTTTCTCTGAGAGAAGGTGATAAAAGAGGGAGTGTTTTTTCTCTGTAACAAAACCGTGATGCTCTTGCAGAAGAGAAGCAGTGAAGCTGGTTAATAAATGGATAGTATGAGTCACAGCCATTGCTCAGCCTCTCTCATCTCTGAAACCACAAATTACTATTAGAAAATGACAATGCAAACTGCTTGCTTCTTGGGAACCTCTGTGGGAAAACAAGCAAAAGTGCTCTCTTTCTCTCTCTCCTGCCCACCCCCCCTGCCCCACAAGATGAATCTTATGGCTGTTTTCTACTCCTGCAGTACCTCTTCCACCCACTAACTTCCTTGGGTTTATTGAGAATTTTGCACAAAGAGTGGGACAAAGCACAGGAAGTGGTGGTCTGGGAGTGGGATTGGACACTTGAGGTTTGCTTACAGATGTATCGTAATGTGCTGCTTTTGCTTTCACAGTCTGGTCTTTCTAACGCTGTTGCTCCGGTTGATGCAGGGTTCCTGTACCCATGAGTAGGAATGCAGAAGGAAACTTAGTAACGGTTGCTGGCAATTGACTTCCCTTCTTTCATTGTAAAGCGTAGAGTTTGTAGCTCAGAATCCTACCCTGCAGCATAGGTTATTCTTTTGTTGTTTGCCCATCTCTCCTGGTTCTTCAGGATCGGTTACCTTTCCATGTATCAGCCCTGAGGCTGCCATGAGCGACTCATCCCTGCTGTTTATGGCTGGAGCAAACACTGTAGAAGAGCAGAGGGCTCGCTGGGAGAGAAAGCGCAGCCGGACAGCCAAGGAGCTGCTGGAAACTGAACACAGATACCTTGAGCAGCTGGATTTGGTGGTCACGGTGAGTATTTCAGGCCCTTCCCATATGTGCATACCTTCAGGCAGCACGTACTTACTTGTGTTGTCATGGGAAAAGGTCAGGAGCAAGACTTTATACATCCCTACTACATGGGACAACTGCTGGGGCTGAAAGGTTTTTTTCCTCCTCTGTAATATCCCATAACTTGTGGTTTTGGACCCTTGGCTTTGGTCTGTACACAGAAATAAATCTTTAAGTTTTGATTGTATAGGGAACTTGCTTTAAGATGCCTGAGATGTGTGAAATGCAGGGGCACAGACATGACAAAGATAGATTATGAACAAGGTGGTGGAAAACAGATGTGTCTAGGAATACTGAAATAGACTCTATCAGTGCTGTAGTGCAGTTCCATGTGTTTGCAGTTATGGTCAAAGTTACCAGAAAGGCTTACATCTGATGACAGATATCTTGGGTTGGTATTCACAATACTTGATATGCTCTCGAGCTAAAGAGTGTGCGAGCTGCAACTTCTTGCTTCTGCTGTGTGCTACAAATAATGTTTGAGTGGCCTGTGATTTCTACCCGTTTGAAATTTTCTCTTTTTTCCTACTTAGTTCTTTGTGACAATTTTAAAGGCCAAAGGGACGCTGAAACCTGTTGTGTTGGAAACCATATTTGGACCCCTGGAATCCATATATTCGGCCAGCTAGTAAGTGAACACACTGATGTGATTCCTGTAATTATATGGGGAGGGCCCTATATTGATGAGAAAGTAAGATTTCAGGAAATAAAGCTAACACCTTGTAAAACAGGCATTCACTTCTAACACTGCTAGCCTTGGTGGCACTGCAGGTGTATCCAGGAAACTGCTGATCTGTATCCATGTATCCGGATGCCAAGTTGCTCTTTGAATAGTGGTTTAAACCCAGTAAGTCTGCTCCGCGGTATTTTTGAGGGGTGTTTTCTGTAGCTTAATCTGTGACCACCAAGCACGTATTTGGCATGTGGATGCAAAATGGATACTCATGTGGATGTGAGGTGGATACTGACAAAGGAAGGTCAGTGCAGGAGTGAACCAGAGGGAGCTGTGAAAATGCCATCAGTAATGTAGCCCTCATGAGCTATCTTTGCTCCTTGTGCACAGTGTTCTGTCACTTTACCTGGAGCGAGGGAATTTGGCAACAGGATTGGAAAATTTCTGTCAGAGTCTGGAGCTTTATGGCCACTACGCTGAGAATTTAGAGCAGGCAAATAAAACCTTGAAGGTAAATATGTGCTTTATGCTTCATGTTCGTTCTTCCCTCTCTTTCTCCATTCTGTGAAACAGCTACATCCTTCCCTTTTTCTTCTGTTTCTGGAGTGATCAGTTTTCTTCCTTTTTCTGGGCTGCTACTATTTTCTCAGTCTTTCTTCCATAATAGAATGGTGAAAATTTCTCTACTTATTTGGAGCTTCAAATTTTTGAAGCTTATTTCAGGTGTTTGTGTATGTGTGCGCATAGGCTGAGCACAGCTCTCTCAGGAGTTCTGTATTTACTCCCACTCCTCCTTGGCTGGCAAGCCTGGAGAGTTTGCAGTGGGAACACTAGGGGCCAATCATCTCTTTCTGGAGAATTATCAGATCTCCTGGTCTTTCCCACTACCACTAACTGTATCCTAACAGTGGGATTTCCTTTTCATCCCCAATATTTTTTTCTATGGTAGAAGAAAAATTTTTCCTTCCCACTTATGTCTCTGAATACAACCTGTCTTCCAAGAAATTTCAGAAGGATATATTTTTATTTCGAAGTCCTGACAGCTATATCTAGAATTTAAACCACCTGACTTCCAGTTTTTGTCCATGCTTGTTCCCAGCTGCAGGATGTACTGGGGATGTTTCCCTTCTGTTCTATTTGCATGCATGTCTTCACACTTTTAATTTCCTAAGAGAAAAAGCCATTTTGGATACCTGCTTTGAGGTGATGGGAATGCAGGGCAGCATTGCTTTGTGTTGAAATGAATGGCAAAAAGGCACAGGTGGACTCCTTGTTTTCCTATCTGAGTCAACCTTCCTTTTTTTCCTTTATTTCCATTTGCTGAGTAAACTAGCTTTATACTGCTGTGCATGTGTGAAGAGAGGATATCGCTTCATTTACCCGCTGGGAAAAGGTGGTCAGGAGAAAGGGAATTGCTTGCCCATGGCCACGAAGAGTTTTTGATGGTTGCTTTTAGGACTGGAGTCATGAACTCTAAGTTTAAGAGTTCTAAGACTTCCAAGCTCCAGTGCAAACTCAGCACATATTTCTTTCTATAGTGTCAAACCTATATGCCTTTTCTGCTGTATACAGGAGCAATTGAGGAAAAATAAGGCATTCCGACGGTTTAAGAAACTCCAGGAGACTCGACCTCAGTTTCAAGGGAGGAAGCTAGAGGATCTGCTTCCTTTGCCACTGCAGAGGCTGCACCAGTAAGTAAGCAATTCTGAGTCTTCAAGGTGTTAGTACAAGAGGAAAAAAGGAGCATAACAGTGCCTTGGTTGCTATGGGAGGTAAAGTTGCTTAACGTGTCTCAAAATCAGAGTATATAGACAGCAATAAAACAGACCTGAAGATGTGCCTGTAAAGTGAAATCAGTGTACATGGATGGGAGACAATGCAGAGAGGTAGCTGTGCTTAGCCCTGGCTCCTAAGTCTGTCATCTAGCTCTTGGGTAGAATGGAAGTGGAGGCTTTCTATCATCTCGGTAAGCTACTGAAGTTAGGCCCTGAACAAAAGCAAGCTGTCTGAAGTACTGCAGAAGTGGTGCTCCCTGCCAGAGATGGTCCTGCTCCCCTTTTGTGCAGGTTGCTGACCTGGACTATTGTGATTCTCCTCTCTTTTAGGTGGTTGCCTTTGGAGAGAGATGAGATTAATGAACGTGGGGGAGCTTTTCTCCCCTCTCTGGTTATCAGCGCCATATGCCTTCCTCAGATTTGGTGCCTATCACAGTTGTCTGAGTCTGGACAGATCCAGTCTGGTTTGCTGCATTCCCCCTTGAGGCATCACCTCCCCTTTGAAGAGGCAGGCTGACTGCATGAGGCAAGTCCTGCATGCACTCAAGGGCTGCCCTTTCTTGGGGAGGGTAAATGGGTAATACAGAGCACAGGTAGTTTGCTGAGAACCCAGCTGCTGCTGCTATAGATCAAGTAGCTGCTCTTCAACCATGGTCTTATCCAGGCTAAGGCAAATTTGAGAGACAGAGAGTCTCGTTTCTTTGAAAATAACTCGGAGTGAGCATACCACAGTCTTTCAGGTAGCTTTATGCAAACTTTTTAATCAGCTTGGCAGATATAAATGTAAGCTTTCTTTTTACTGTAATTCTTTGGATCATTCCTTGAAATTTGTAAAATAGCAGTATATTTGTTCCTGTCTGACTGTTCGGAAAAATAGTGGCCTTTTAACAGAAGGTCTAATTTTTTTCATTAATCAGCTCTTTCATGTTCAAGTTTCTTCAAAACTGTTACATATACTGCAGGTCATATGACTTCTGCCAGTGAATCTATTCAATGTGATATTTCTCCTGTCATTTCAGACTGAAAATAGGTTGACTTTATTGGGGGAAAGAATTGGTGGAGATCTGTTCCTTTCCGGTAAAGACTGGAGAGGAAAAAAGAAAAAGGCGGCTTCTGATTCTATAAGAAATGTCTTTGTTTTCTTGTGTGGGCAGGAAACATACAGTATGGATGCTACCATTCAGGCATAAAAAAAAAAAAATTAAATAGTTAAAACAGAAATTTGTCTGTTAGTGAAGGCATTTTTCTGTGAATGTTAAGAGAGTCTCATGAACTTAAGTAATATGTGAGGTTGCTTTTATCAGATCCCTATGAAATGCCAAAGGCTTGCAAATGTATAAAATACTTGGGTTAATTTAGTGGATAACTTTGAAGAGAAAATGAATGTGATTGAAGAATTGTGACCAAAAGCTGCTTGGTTAGATGTAGAGGTGTGTATTCTATCTCCTGGTGAAGTGTTGTTCATCATTCTGTCACTAATAAGAGATGCTGCTGTTCCTTGTATCTTTTTGTGAAATAAACCTTCTCTCTATCTTAGGTACAAGCATTTCCTCAGAGACCTGCTGGAGAACACCAGCCCAGAAAGTGCTGAGTACCAGAAACTTGCAAGTATGATTCCATTTGTAGACGCTGGCACTTGGATCAGTGTTAGCCTCCTTGCTAATAATATTTGGATTCTCGTCTTCTGTCTACTTCCGCAGGAAGAAAAACTCTTCTTCTTTCTGGGGTTCTAGTGGATTACTATTTCCCCTTCTCCGTCTTGATCAACATCTCACTGAGAACACAGTGCGAATAAAAATGTAGAGTAGCTGACTGGGAAAGTGGCCTAGGTGTTAGGTTGGAGAAATGACAGCTCTATTTTTTTTTTATGATGAGGGTGGTGAGACACTGGAACAGGTTGCCCAGGGAAGCTGTCAATGCCCTATCACTGGAATTGTTCAAGGTCAGGTTGGACAGGGCTTTGAGCAACCTGATCTAGTGAAAAATATTTCTGCCTATGGGAGGGGGGTTGGTCTAGATGATCTTTAAATTTTCCTTCCAACCCAAACCATTCTATGACTCTTAGTCATATGCCTCAATTTTCTAGGATAATTCATGTCCTTCATGCCATATCTACTAGCAGTTAACACCACTTATGGGGCATTCCTCCTAGTTTTGCTTCCAAATCCAGGAAACTATTCCTCTGTCTAATGTTTCATTGGCAAATAAATGTTTTCTAGAATTGCAGAAGTGTGGTTGGAGAGAGACCTCTGAAGGTCATCTAGTCCAGTGTCCTGCTGAAATTACTGAATAAATCTGTTGTTGATACTTGGTTTAAAACATTTGCTTCTTAATTTCATCTTATCTTTTCACAGCAAGATAGATAAGGCATAATACTTACTCATTTGTGATAACCTCAGAATATGCTGCTATAATTTCAGAGGCTGTGAAATCCGTTTCTGAGGTGTCTCGGTGGGTCCAAGACATCATTCATAAGAGAGAGAACTCATTGCAGCTACTTCGGGTTCAGAAACTGCTCAAAGGACAGAAGACCCAGGTTTTGACTCCAGGTGGGTCTTAATGACAGCTGGGTTTTTTTTTTCTGCCAAGCTGAGATAACTGGAGATATGCCCGCCTTCATCTCTGAGTCAACTCATATTAACCAGTTTTCCTCTTCTGCCCAAATTCCAAAGATAGGTGGTGAAGGAATATAACTAGTAACTCAAGCACTTGTTTGTGGTTTTTTTTAAATGAAGAATTTTTGAGTAAGGAGAAGCAGCAGCTTAATTGCCTGACGTTCAGATGGGAAGAGCTGATGACATGTAGTTAGAAAGTTAGTAGCAGGAACCTAAGGAGGTCAGGAGTATAAGTCCTGGCTGAGGATGAAAGACAGACATTACGTAATTTTGGAAGAGTGTAAGTAGTTGTGTTTTCCCTACTTCATTGCAGGAACCATAGATTTCTGAGTGACAAGGGCCCAAGGACTGTGGTGTTTTTTACATTAAGCCACAAGCTTCATGGACTTCTGCTCACAACCTTCACATGAAGAATCTTCTTTTATCTGCGTGGTTAAGTTGTGCCAAAAATCAGAGTATTTCTGTTGATAGCTGAGATATATGAAGTCACAGTCACTGGCATGTAAGATCATCTAATTAGATAGCAGGTTTCTTTATGACCTTTTGTGTGACTGGGTACTCTCCAAGCTATGTATGGAATATTGTGAGAAATGTGTCCAGTCAGGGCAATTATGAAATGGTTACTTGGGACTTCACCTGTGCCCTCACTAAACACTCTTATTGCAGAGGTCATCTAGAAACAGTGCTGCAGCTGGAGAGCAGTGTTGAAGTCACTGTGTGTAAAGGTCTCTAAGGCATGCCTCCGGGTACTTGTGGATGTGGTTGTAATCCATACATGTGGATTTTGGGGTGAAAAAAATATCCTCTAGTGGGATGGGGGAGAGAATCAGAAGAGTAAAAGTGAGAAAACTCATAGGTTGTGGTAAAAACAGTTTAACAGCAAAAGCCTCACAGACAAGCCAAGCAAAACGAGGAATTCATTCCCTACTTCCCATCGGCAGGCAGGTGTTCAGGTGTTCAGCCATCTCCTGGAAAGCAGGGCTCCATCACATGTAATTGTTACTTGGGAAGACAAACGCCATCATTCCAAACATCTCCCCCCCCCCTTCCTTCTTCTTCCCCCAGCTTTACATGTTGAACATGATGTCATATGGTGTGTAATATCCCTTTGGTCAGTTGGAGTCAGCTGTCCCGGCTGTGTCCCCTCCCAGCTTCTTGTGCACCCCCAGCCTGCTCGCTGGTGGGGTGGGGTGAGGAGCAGAAAAGGCCTTGGCTCTGTGTAAGCACTGCTCAGCAGTAACCAAAACATCCCTGTGTTATCAACACTGTTTCCAGCCCAAATCCAAAACATAGCCCCATACCAGCTACTATGAAGAAAATTAACCCTCACAGCCAAACCAGCACAGGTAGTAAAGGAGGTTATTTATCGGAGGTTATTGTTCTCGAAGATGCTCAGTCAATGGGCAGATTAACTTACAATTATCTTTCCCATTCTTCATTGAATCCTTTTGGTGATGCTTGCTGAAAGGGAGCTCACACAGGTGTGCTCTCCTTATACAGAGCATGTGTGGTGGTGCCTGGGTATGTTGGGGTAGTGCGTAAGTAAAAAGGTAAATCAGTTATCCTGAATGACAGAACTAATAAGATAACATCATGACAAAAACCCCCAACCTGAAAATAGTATAGCTAGACCAGAGATGGCCATCCTTTGAAAGCATTGGGTCCACTTTGGTTTTGTCTCTAAATATTGAGACATGTATTAGAACAAATGTTGAGGGTCTATGGACACCTTTCCATCGTCTATAGACATCTTTCCATTATCTAGGACAGAGAATTGTGATGGTCATGTTTTCCATCAGCTGGAGTAAAATAGGTACTATTGGATGTGAGAAGCAAAAAAGTAAGAGTTATCTGGGGCTTGCTAGTTTTGGGCCAGCGTTCCAGAAACAAGCTAGCATTTGCAGAACTGTTAAGGTTGCATCCTGTTACTAGGAGGGAAGAGGTGAGAAAACATAATGCTATAGATTCAGAGGAAAGGCGTAGCTTTGGAGCTGGGTATCTGTTTGGCAGTGTCTCTGAGATGAGAAGCTCCCAATTAAAAGACCCCGCTTTTCTTGCTGTCTTCCATATATAGGGCAAATACCATCTTACCCAGAACTGCCTTCTTAACATACCACACTGTTTGGTCATCCCTAGCTTCCCCAGGGATATTTCCTTGCCCTCCTTTCACAAGAATTTCCTAAATCATATGCCTGTGAGAATCCTGAACACGGATCTTATCACAAGACTTACATCACAGTCCAGTTCAGACTGTATGCCAGAAAGTCTGATCACAGCTTAGGCTGAGGGAAAAACAGTTTCCAGTCCAACCCCATGCTGCTGATGCCTTCCTTCCATTTGTTTTTTAAACTTGGACTGATTCCTGCACCTCACCCTTCTTTCTCAGTTTCTTATTCAGATAAGAGGAATGGTTCCTGAGGAGTAAGCTAAGCAGGAATTCACTTGCCTCTATTTTGTGACTGTAGCGCACTTAAGTAAGACATGATCCATAATTAAAACAAAATTGTTGTCCTAAAAGGTATTTACTAGCTCAGACAGAAGCTAAGGCATGAAAACCAGTAGCTGAAATCCTCTGGCAGGTGTTTCCCAGACCAGGCCAGATGCCAATACCTTATTATGGCTTTAAATTTTTATAAATACTTCTACTGGCAGGTGTCTTCATAATTCCCATGAGTTGATGGCCATCTTGTACAATAATCCTTCTATTAGAGGCACTGCTTTAATTATTCCATTTTGTGTAGATGCCATTTTTTTT